AGAACAGCTGGCTAGTTTTATTATGGGTACTTTTACTGGAAGTACATTTCCAAAAGCCCATACTTCTGTTACTTATACGAAACACGAGTATCTGTACTCACTGCAGTAAAAAGGATGTGTTACTTTGGCCAGCTCCTGTATATGGGCATATATGAGCATCATTAACATAAGAAAGTTAAATTGTATTTATTTTTCTGACAATGAGTGTTCTGTTCGCCCTACATTTAGTGTTCTTAATTTTCTTCTGTCCTGACTGACATATGAGCCTTTGCTCAGTGCGATTTATTACTCAAGCACTCCCCTATGTACTATCATCACTATGCACATTACTTCTTGTCATGATTCGAATGGACACAGTGACGTACTAAGTGCTTGAGGTTACAGGTCTTCGTGCTCACTCGGTGACAGTCTGGTTCACATTGGCCATTATTCTGGCTGGGACCCGTGAAAGGAGAGACAGTTCAGGTTAGCTAGACCCCTTTGATTATGGTAGGATGTGTCTGCAATATTAACCTCCACCCATCTACAATGGAGTAAATGCACAAAATGTACTTAGTGTTGCCCTGTTATAATCAAACTATCCTTACTTCCCCACTTTTAGTATGTACTTTGCTTTTATAAAACCTACATGGTAAATTATGTAAACTGTGTAGCTTAAAGGGTGGGGTAGGTAAGTTTGGAGAAACGGCTCTTTGTGATACACTTTTTGTTATATTCCATGGAATGCTCTTTAACATCCCGATAGCAATGAATACATGAAGTGCTATCAGGTTCGACCGGCACACCAAAAGGTGTCTGGTTTTCGCTTCAAATCGAAAGAGACTTTTTGTTTCCGGGTTTCTTCTGCTGGTTGTCGCATCTGATTGGGTGGCGCAGGGCCATGTGTTGTCTCTCCCAATAGATGATCGGGGGAAAGCACGCACACACCTCCTCCTGTGTTTTAGTATGAAAGCCTGTGTTTTCCTTTGGTTCGCGCTCTTGTTTTTGACTGGCCGTTCCTGAGACCTGTCTTACACGGTGGTAGAACCTGAGCCCGGAGTACTCTGCAGAGTGCTTCGTGATTCCTTTGTATTTGTATTGTTACTTTGTATCATTAAAACAAGATTATTGTTTCACTTGCATTCTGGTGTTTCTTAATCCCTTCCTTTTTACGAATTTACCCAGCTTACCAAACGACACGCGGAGACGAGGTTGGTTTTAAACATCTTCCAAATCTCCAACAGTACAGAAGCAACAAAGCAGCATACTGCATTAAACCTGACCTTCACAAAGAGGTTGAAGTTCATGTGGAGAGGAGGCTTCAGTAGTCTGTCTGCACTCTGTTTAGTTGTGCTATCTTACAATCAATATAGTAAATGTGAGGTAAAGTGTGTAGCCAATGTAACCAGTTAGAACTCAAAGGTGCGATGAGGTCTTAAAATGTATGGAAAGGGTCTTAAAAAAGGTCTTAAAAGGTATTACATTGGACCTCAGGATTCCTGCATATACCCTGCTTTAGATCCATAACAATGCAAGCTAAGTAGCCCAGTTAGCTACATAGCTAGCAATGAGTGAGCGTTCAGACACCGGCGCCAGTGTTGGGCAAGTTACTTCCAAAATGTAATATATTACTGCCTTTTGAAAGTAATAAGTTACACTACTTTAGTTACTTTCACCAAAAGAATGGCTTGGTATTTTAAATGCTGAAATGTAGTTTAGTGCAACTCATTATACATCCAGTGAAGGGCAATGTGGTATAGCATAACAACTGTGTAGGCCCTTAAGGCTACTAACAACTTGTATTACACGGCTTAGTTGAATACTTGATTCTGATTGTAAATTCTTAACATGTGACACGTTGATAATACAGCATTGTCAAGGACTATAACGAAGGTTGCTAAGGAGGATCAAGAAAGAGAAAGGAAAAGAGGTTAAAAGACGGAGCGCTGGACGTCAGATAAATCACCAGAAGAAGGCAGAGAGGAAGTTAACAATAACAGGACACGGAATGGGCTCTGTAGTTTGTTTAGTATATGGCCGTGTACAGGCCCTGTTCCAGAACAAAATCACTCAGCAGTAGTAGGTTTACATGAGCAATAGTGGCCGGCAACAGCAATGAAAAATAGCCTTGATGGTCCCTGTTACGTTCCCTTATAAATCTTGGGGTACAAAGGGAAGTAACAAAACACCAAATAACCGGCCGAGAGATAAAAGGAGAGGAAACTGAATGCTGAAGCCACGAGCAGGTCTTTCAATGGACAAAAAGAACACAGGCTCAGCAGCCAATTTGCGAAAACAAACTTAAAGTAACTAAGAACAACTTTTTTCTTAAAGAAAGTGACTAAATTAAACAATACACAAAAAGGTAAACTGGAGCACATCTAAAAATTCACCAAAACACAGGCCTCACACAGAGACATGCTGCACACATGCAGCCAGAGGAGAAGGAGAGAGGCCACTGCAGCCTTCCTCAGGTCCTTTATGGAGGCCCTGATTGAGGATTGGGAGCACCTGGGGGAGAGGCTGCACCTGGAGACAATCAGGGAGAGAGAGAGAGAAACGCACACAAAAGCACACAAGCACCAACTGCTGCATGTAACAATTATGTTAATTCATATTCAAGTCATGGGACTTTCTCTGCTTAACAAGAACAGTCAGTATGATGACCTTCATTGAGATAGACAATGTACACGCTTTTAAAAACCATGCATGTTTTGATATATATTTTTCTGGCTACATTCCAGGACCCCTTCAAGTACAGCTACCCTCCTCTCCCTGATGACGACTTCCAAACACCCATCTGTGAAAACGGGCCGATAGTCAGTGAGGACGAGCTGGAGAGCAAAGAGGGGGACATGGAGAGCAAAGACGCCCTGGAGTCCAGCTTCAGCTCTGAGGTAGCAGTAAAGCCCAAAAAGGTAAATGTTCTGTTCACTTTACATCTAGTTATTATCATTAGTTTCAGAATGGAGCCGGCTTAAAAAAGTCCTTCAATGTAATGAAGACAAAACTCTTCACGCTTTCATTTAGCCACAATGTAAGGGAGGAGGGCTCCTTCTGTGTTGTCAGTCTCCACTCTGGCACGACTCGCTTTCAGTCAGCAAACTTCTGAATATGGAATGAATGTTGTGTTTATGAGTAAAATGTGTGAAGCAAATATAGTTAGCAAGACTTGTGGGGACGTTGTTATCAGTGTAGCTGCTCTCGTGTGTAATTGAGTCATGATCTTATAGCTGTGGCATTCTGCTACGAATCAAACTGAGCGTCCTATAGTCGTTTCTTCTTTCACTCACATTCTATAAGTTGAGCGTGAGATTACAGCATGTGATCACCGCAGTGAATGAAATGGGAAGTAATGTCCTGATTTGGAAGATGGTAAGCTCTTGCTCATTGTCTATGTGAAGGTGACTCCTAATGTCTACGGCTGCAATTAAATCCTGCCAACAAAGCCAGTGCCTCGAAGCCGGTGCTCTGTCCTCCCCTCCTCTCCTCCTCATACGGTCCACAGAGGTTGTCAAGTCAGCTACTTAAGCTCTTCCCTGCTGTAGCTGGATTCCTCTTCCTCGCCAAACAACAGCAAGCAGCCCAACAACATAACTGAGACGCCCCGCAGGCTTTATCTTAACTATGTCTGCAGATACTTGTCAACCTCCCTCTCTCTCTGGTGTCACCCGATTCCACCCACATGCTGTAAGGCTGCAGCTTATGTCATATATTCTACTCTCCTTCAGGACAATCCAGTTTCATAATCTCCTAGCTACTTTCCCGCACAGCGTCATGCAGAGAAAGCCTGCATGGAAATAGATGGAGGGCTCAGGATATGCTCGACTTCGAGAAAGTTGTACATTTGCAATATGTTGGTGCAGGTTGTTTTCAAGCATGGTTAATTATTATTTTGCTGCAGCAGTTATTAACTAAAGCATGGGTCAAGCAAGAACTTATTAAATGTTAAAGCACAGCCGAATCATCAAAGTCAACTTTAATGTAAATCTTCCAGTTTGTTTGTACAGACGGAGAGATCGAAATACTGTTTCCCACGATCCCAAATATGAAAACAATGTATATAGAATATAAAAATATGTATATACACAGTCAAAGAAACATGTGCACACATTAAGACCTAAATGAAAACACAACAATCAATATAAAAGTCAGATGGAATCGGCCTTGGGGAGGTTTGTGCCCTTCTGAATAACAGATAGGTTGCTGTTAAAGCCAAAGAGCAGCAGATTTGGGGTTGACCTGCGTTCGACGTGAGTCGTGATATAACTGTGTTGTGATTTATAGCCGCTCTCATGAGTTTTTGTCGCCTGTTGCCTATAGGACACACCCTGTGAGAGCTGCTGCTGTGTCACCCACAGCTTCTCCCATGAGCCTCCTAAGACCCACTAAACAAGCAGAGCTCTTATTGTTAATAAATACCACATTGGTCATGCACAACAGATTCAGATTTACAAAGCAAAGATATGCAAATCACTCAAATGTTAGCCCAAGCAATAACTTACAGGAACCATTTTAAAGTTTGTTAATGTTGTTGGTGAACAAGCCCCACTATTCCCAAGAGAAAAGGTACACATTTCCATATTTAAGCATTTTTGACTTCATATTTGACATTAAAAACATTGTCTGTGGGAAAGGGAAAGATATGTTTCATGTTAGTCTGAAGAGCTAGTGACTCAACCACTCGGCAGTGACGCTGCACAGAAAGTGAGTCTGGTATGATTGGTGTTTGAAATATGCCTGACAGCAATCACAATGTCTCAAGTAGTTGATGAATATTCAGGCTCAGAGAATAGAAGCTCAACAGTTTGTCTTTGAATGGTGAATTGTATAACGATTGAAAATGAATGGTAATTCATGTGACTTTAAATATCGCCACTGGCTGAAGGTTACATTCGAATTATAAATTCATTCTGGAAACCTTACAAGCCCAACTTTCTTTTTTGAAATGTATTAATTCAAGGTTAATAATACCTCCTGCACAGGTACTTCCTTTAAAGCCCATAGTGTTGGACAGAAGTAAGTATATGTTCGGTGTTGTCCGACTATACAGAGTATCAGAACAATCACAATATGAACAGAAAGGCATGGTTTACTATTTAAAACAAGATGAAAGGAGAGTGAGATGATGTCTCTTGGTCATTTTTCAAAGTGTGGAGTAGTCTCATCAGGCATAATGAATTCCTGGATGCCTGTGCTGTGCCTAAACCTGCTGCTCTGTAATATCCCGTCCTGCCGGCTCCTCAGCCCGTCAGAGCACGTTCCATCTTGTCTAAACAAACCATCGACTCTTCCGCCGCCGTCCCTCCTCAATTACGCTGATTACTTGGGAGCTAATTGCCTTTCTCTCTGTTTTGGAACAAGGGCTGGCTGTGGTAAGGCAGGTTAGGATCAAACCCACACTCGGAGCACAGAGTCCAGACGCTTTCTCCCGGCTGGAAAGGCAGGTGTGCTCACGTGACTGAATTACTGTGAGTGCACCTGCCTCAGACAGTCACCTGCTGTCGTCTCATCCCTGGACATGTTCATCTGTCCTGGACCTTACATTTCAAATTGAGAAACTCATCGCACAGTCCCTGCCCGCCAGGAACACATTTACATGACCTGTATGTTCTAACCTCAGATAAAAACGACTGAAATAATTACTGCTATGTTGCAGTAAAACGAGTTATTAACACGTTTTTTAACTTCTTTGCTTTTATGCATATCTTAACTAACACCATGAGTGCCTTGTTTTTTAACACTATTTTGACCAGGTCTGTGACACTGGGGAGTGATATCAAGTATCATGTGTAAAGCCTACTAATATGTACTGTACAACCAGTAGACACTCCTCTTATGAGCCTTTCACTAATATTTTAATAATTCTATTGTCTTTGCGTTTCAAATCTTACACAATGTGTAGAAAACATGAAGGTATCAAATGTAGTATTAATTGTGTTGTGTCTTAATTCTTTGTATTTGCTTATAGTGTTTTTTGAATTGAAAGAAATTGCCTAATATTTTGTTCTTTGTTAATCTACAATGGAATTTTGTTTCCATGAGCCTTACGAAAGGGATCGAAGCTCTTAAAAACAGTGTTATTTTAATTATGATGTGTGTGTGTGACACAGCCTGCCTCATGTTTCATTTCTAATTAAAAAATGTGATTGTTTGACTTCTTCGACTCACATTGTGACCTCATTGTGTTGAGCTTGCTCTGAAATGATGAATAAATGAAGCCTTTCATCAGCAGCTGATCATCTCTTGATGTCTTCATTGTGGCACTTGCATGACAGTCAGCCATTGAATTAAGATGACATGTTGTGTTGCTTATCACAGCAAATGACACACTTACCCCCTCCGAGTCACAAATGTTCCCATCACATGCAGAGCCCGCTCACCTTTGCCCCCCCCCTCCCCCCATGATGTGCTCACTCTCCCATCTGTTTTACACAATATGTGTTGCCAGCATCACTGTGAAGGCATCCTCCTCCCAACCCAACAACTTTATCCGTAGTGCTTAGGCTGACGTTTCGCAATTTCTATCCTGTCAGCTGTTTCCTTATCTCGTGATCTGTCCGAGGATAATTTGGGTCAAAGTGTACGGATGTTTTGCTGAAGTGAAAGTATCCTTGTAGGAGTCTTAATTCTGACTCCTGGACTCACTGAACTATTTATGTTCAAGCGTCTTGTCATGTGTTTGTAAGACTACCAGGAACACGGGTGAAGAGTCACCACGGAGGTTTCTCGGTAGTAAAAACATGTTCTGAACACTTCACGATTATTTCACAAGAGCCATTCATTATTCATTGCAGATAACTGTCAAGAGCTTCATTAACTGATAGCTTTCCTCGCTTAAAGGCCAAAGTTCAAACATTTTATTTTCAGGGAAGGAACAAGATAAAGGTCACACGATTGCTTTATCAATTCTCTGAGTCTCTTTTCTAATTAGCTGCTCTTTGTTGTTTCAGGTGAATTTCCTGGAAGACAGTTTGAGATCAGAGGACAATGACAAAGGAGACACTAGCTCCAGGACCAAAGGGGCCAGAAAGCCACTGACTACCTTCAAAGGCGCTCTGCTAGATGTTAGGTAGGCCATCCTGCTCACAATCTCCTTTCTTACCATCATTCTATACGGTCATTTCCTCAAGTTGCAGTTATATTGAAAAGAATCTACTTAGATGACGAAGCTCTAAAAACGACATGTAACCAGTTCACAATCAGCTGATGGATTTCTTCGATGTTTATCATTGCTAATAATGCTAAATCCTCATCTCTACCATTACTTGGAAGTGTTCCTATCCTACCTTTTCAAGTGTTCTTGGAAACATTGACAGCTTCTACACGAGCCTAAATGAACCCAGAAAATGTCAGAGGCTTTTTTTTATTTTTTTAAACCAACAGATTAGCTGTACACTACATTTGTTGTTGACTATATGCACACTTGTTCAGCATCTCTGCACTGCAACTACAACTAATTTGTGTTTGGGAAACATGAAGTAAGGTAGTCAGAAAGGTTGACTGGACACCTAAGGATTGTTAGTTTGCTGAGAATAACCGGTAGTAGATGTATCTAGATTATCCTCATTTGCCGTCCTTTCTGCCAATCTCCACTCCAATGCTGGTTTCAGGGTTAGGGTTACGGTCAATGTACAGATACAGCTCTGGAAACAATGAAGAGACCACCACAGCATTATCAGTTTGTATGTGTATATTTCATTCAACAGACCCCGGAATGGAATGGCTGCCATACGTGTAGAGATTGAGATTTAAGAATCATCTGGAGTGGTCTCTTAATTTTTTCAAGAGCTGTAGCTAAAACTAAACATTATAACGTCCTTGGAGGTAAGATGTTACATTATACTGCGTTCATAAATTGGTAACTGAGCATAAGCCCGTTAAGAAGCCATTAGCAAAAATACATAACTTTAATTGCCTTGTATATATTGACGAAAATGTCCCCTTCATGTATCGGCTCAAAGCCATGAGTCATTATTGATGTTTGCGCCTTTTATGGCCTGATTGATCCGCTCACATGGGGCAGGAATTAAGGATGCTAGCGATCGTTTGTTCAATGAGAGACTGGCCAATGATTAATTAACCTTTAAGAGAGGAGCACTCGTCCACTCTGAACATGTCGTCACACACATCATACGTTTTTAATTCAGCCTTCAATTGCAAAAGAGGGGTCGACTTCAAGAGCCGTGTATTGCAAAGAAGAAAAAAGCAATCCCACAAGTATGTGTTTGGCTATTGGGTAAAGAATTAGCGGCGCATTCTCACACTGAATGATACTACTTCTCATTTTCATGAATATTTGTCCGTTGAGTTCTGTTTTAACGGAGGAATGGCTTTGATGTGAGGATTCTGACAGCTCTGGGCTGTGAGTTAGTGATAAACAGATTTTAAATGAGCCTTAAATGCAATTATGTTTCTGAGCTGTGTTAGCCTTAATTCGAGGCTGGGGGGGCTTTAGTGGGGAGTAGGGGGCTTTGATCTCATGTTTGCAAAAGGTTTTCAGAGCCCCAAAACTCACTTTGAGGGAAAGAGCCTCTATGTCTAGAACCGGGGAAATAACACGGAGACTTGCGTAAGAGAAATATACGTTTTGTTCTTAGCAGTGTCAGTCCATGAGACATTAAGGAGAAGCTTGATATGAGGCAGATATTCAAATCTTTTTTTCTAATTTCTCCCAATAAAAAAAGGGTTTAACCTGTCTGAATTCATCGAATAACATGCTGTTTATAGCCAAGTTAGACTGTTGCAAACTTGCTTAGAGGAAACAGCGAGAGCCGGCAACAACCACCACTGATCACAAACTGCGAGAGAAAGAGCCTCATCCCAAGTTTTTGGGTCACAGATTTTTTTTTTTCAACATTTCACATCAGATGTGATGCCTGATCAGCGCTCCATACAGTTTAAAGTCCAACTGAAAATAAGTTGCTAGAGTATTCACATCTCCTGTGTTCTACTCGGCATCAAAATCTGAAACCAAATAGTGACAATCATTTATTCTAATACCATGAGTTCTCCGTTTTGGTAGATGGACAGCTTGTTTCCATACAACCAATCAGATTGCTTCATTTGGAACCATATTTGCGTTAAGCAGTAACAAAAGCATTTAATCATGGGAAGACATTCACGCTGACTAAAAGCCACACACATCCTGCTACACAGCACACAAAGTATCCTTTTTATCTGACTAACCAACATGAACACCATGTCCTGCACTTTGACATGTTGTACCAGCCACCAAACAAACATTCAGCGGGGGAAAGAGCACGGCAAACATTGGTTTTCATGATAAATAGTTCATTAGCTATCTGCTCTACAAATATGATGTTATCTTAGCTGCAAATGTCTTGTACGATACACCAACAAATGTTGATGACATAAAGGACTACTAAGTGGTTTCAGTTTAAATCAAAGCATTAACTCCTCCTATAGCCAGCGAAGGCACCTAGACCCTGTTTACATCGAGTATTCATGGGTCTTAGGGGGTCAGATTACAAGACCACAGCTCTGAATGCAACAACCACAAAGACTCGTTGTGATTTGATCACGGTAACCAGTTGCCATGGTGGTTTGTCCACATATGACCACATAGTGTAAATGCTGAGGCCTCCTGATGTGTCCCTAACTAGGATGTAACAGGAAAATACGTCAATGCTTGCAGCTGTCGAACGTGATGAACGTGTTTTTTAAGTGAGATCCAATCACAAGTAGTCAATTGGGACGCATGTATAGATGCACTTGTTGTGGTCAACAGGAACCTCCAACTCAATTCTGTCCCCCAGGGGCCCCATAGTGCGGTGATTCAGCCTCGGACTTTGACATGGTTTATTGATTTTTTTGATTAATGTAAAAACAGGTATCCTGTATTTGAAAGTATAATTTTTTTTTTTTTTGCTGCAAATCTTTCTATAACATCCTTCAGGAATAACGATGGTTATAGCAGATATTTAGAGGGATGTGTAGCAGGAAAAGCTACAAGTCCCAGGATAATCATAGCACACAGACAGCAAAGCACATGAAGTATCCGCCCAATCTGTATTCATACGAAGCCTAAGAGAGAAAGAACAAAGCATTTGAGGGAGCAAAGGGAACTCCAGCCTGCATGTAGAGCAGCAGTTGTACAAGTGCGCGAACAGGCGTCTCCTTCCTACCACGACAGCTTCCTAACGTATCTCCTCCTGTCACGCATTGTGGGTTTTCTCTCCCTCCAGCCCCGCAGAGGAGCTCAGCTTTGGTTCTGCAGAGACGGAGAAAAGATGCCTCATTATCCTGAGCAATGTGACCAAAAATAAAGTGGCCTTCAAGGTGAGAATGAGGAGCGTTTGTGCCTAAGTAACATTTTCTGTTATTTGATCAACAGTAAAATTACATTTTAGTCAAGCCATTTGTTTAGCGTAATAGCAGTTCACTGGTTTCATCTTTTCCAATGTGAAGTTGTTCTGCTTTTTTTGCAACTTTATATCAATGTTCATGGAATTTCTATGTTTGGACCATTTTCTGATCTTCATAGACAAACCACTTTCTGAAAATAAATATGTTTTATTTAGAGTGTCCTTGGTGTCTTTCCAGGTACGGACCACAGCACCTGAGAAGTACAGAGTGAAGCCCAGCAGCAGCTTCTGTGAACCAGGAGCGTCAGTAGATATAGTCGTGTCTTTACATGGAGGTACTGCACTCTAGCTCTGTCTCACAATAGATTGTTCCTAAAGCTGCACTTCAGAATCATCAAAGTCTGGTCTTCTACCTTCAGAGTGCTAGCAGCCACTCTTCTTTGCCCAGCATACATATTTTAAAAGTGATAAAAGAAGAATCTGCCCAAAACAACTGAGGTCAAACATGTTGGGGCCTTCAAACCGTGTATAGACTACACTCTATTGCAAATACCTTGGAAGAGTCAGTGCTACCTATGTCAGGGTTGCTTTAATGCTTTTTCACAATGTCATGTCAAGCAATGCATTTTCTCCTTCCTGCTGAAGATTTCCTCAACAAATCAAATCCTTTCCATTATTTATGTTGACTTGCCGTGTGTTCTTGTTGCCCTGGATGTTTCCGGCAGGTTCTCAAGCATCGCCACAGGACAGATTCTTGGTCATGGCTGCCGAGATGGACAATTCTTTATCACAAGAACTCGCACAGTTCTGGAAAGAAGTGCAGAAAGCCAAGATCATGGAACACAGGTCTGTGCTCCTTGATACAGCCATGAGAGTAAATCTGTCAAATAATGAGTACATTGTCCCGTTGCCCCAGTGTCCTCGTTACATTCGTGACCGTGAGCTTGTCGGCTGCGTATCGCCCTGATGACTTCCCGCTCATTAGGTTGTGAATTTCCCACAGATTGCGCTGTCACGTTGTGGAGAGCCTGAAACAAACAGTGAGTCTTCTCAGAGACAGCCCTGTGGAGACGGTCTCCGGCGGGCAGCAGGAAATTTACACAGCGGTGAGTTCTGCTGGAGAGGAGCCTCTTCTCGTCAGTACTCATTATCTTTGACCCACAATTAGGGCTGCTCGATTATGGCAAAAATCCTAATCTCGATTTATTTGGGTCAATAATTGTAATTGCGATTTATTAAATGCTTTCAAATTATTCATTGACTTTGAAAACATCCATTTATTTAAAAAAAAAAATTGAACAGTATGTTTTTAACAGTTGATTACCCTGAACTTTAAGTATAATTCAACTGGAAAACCCCAAAAAAAAAAAAAAAAGTAATAATAACAAAATAATCGTTTTATTTCGATTACGTTGTTTTCGTAATCGTTGCAAGCCATAATCGTAATCGCGATTTAAAATACGATTAATTGAGCAGCCCTACTCACAATACATTTGTTCATGGAGATCCTTTTGACCACCAATGTAGATGTTATACTCTGCCATCCCTAACACATTGTAGTCCAATATGACTCTATGATGAAGTCGCACCCTTACAGATGTCATTAACATGTCTTTGTATTTGCATTGCATACTCCAAAAACATCCCACACCCAGGCACTGGATGATAACATACATTTCACATCAGTAAGTATTATGTAGGTTGAGTGTAGATTCATTAGGTCGTAGCATTATAAATGTCTTGTTGGACTTTTGTTTGTTACATGTTTAACGGTATGGTAACATTTCGGGGAACTGTTCTTGCTTTTCTTACTTTCTTTTGAAGAGAGTTAGACGAGAAACTCAACTCTCATGTCTGTGTGTTACAGCTGGAGAAGAGGGGCAGCTAGCCTAGCTTAGCATACAAATTGAAAATTGTTAGCCTAGCTCTGTATAATAATGTCAAAGACCTCTTCCCATCCCCTCTAGAGTTCCCTAATTAGTACTCTTTCTCTTCAATAGAACTGATATGTCTGTGCGTAGCCTCTCTGCTTATTTCCTCACCACTTCACAGTTATGATCTAGGAAGTCACTGCAATCAACCGCTTCTCACCAGGAAGTTGACACACAGTAGCACCTAACTCTCCCTGAAACCACAAATTGTCGTTTTGAATTTCAGGTCGATACGTTCTTAGAGACACAGTTATAGTTTAGCAAAAGCCAGGCTATGTGTATCTCCTACCTCCAGTCTTCCCATATCACACATGAGAGTAGAATCCATCATCTAACTCTAGAAAAAGAATAGGCGTGTGTTTCACCCTTTTTTCCCAAATTAACCGAACATCTATAGCCTGGTTTGCTGCCATGACTTCTTTCATTGCAACAGTGTTAGATTAAACCAGTTTTTATCTCACCAGCTCCTGCAAGTGATGACCTGCAATGCCCGGCTGGAGCAGAAGCTGAACTCGTGCCTGTGGGTGCAGAAGGTTCTGATCGGGCTGGTGCTGATCCTGGTCCTGCTGAACCTGCTGTGTCTGCGCCTGCTGACCAGCTCCCAGCAGCCATCCTGACCTGCCCCCGCCCGCTCCACCGCAGACATTCCTGACCCCCCACCCCCGCGCGGGCTGCTGCCATGGAGGGGAACAGGGCCCCCTTTAGGGAGTCGTTGTGGAGTCTCCATTTGAAGAGACTTTATTCGTCTCTTTTCAGGCACTTGAGAGGGACTCTTTTAACAAAGTGACATCAAAGCATTAATGTATTTTTTAAGATGCATCAAAAGATAAATATGTATTTATTACTAAAAACAAAACATGGAGGAACAATTACTAATTCTGTGATCATAATGTACAATTTTTTACATATTATATAAATCTAGAGAATATAAAATAAACACTTTTTGTCAACTTATCTGTTGTTGTTTCTCCTTGTCTCTCCACATCCGCCTTCATCCAGACATGTGAATGTTGTGGTTACTTCCTAATAAACCCTCATTAGTACAGAGGTGTTTAATTGAAAATGTTGCCGTGTGCGCCCCCACTAAACCTCTCCCACACTCAGCCTTGAGGAGCCACAGGAGATCTCTGTTCCCACTTTCTCCTCCATTTGTTTTAATTACCCCGACACTGGCAAACTAAAAATACCAAAGCAATTACTGGCGAGTACAAGGACACAGCGCAACCCACTTGTAGCTTAGTGGAAAGCGCTGATATCTATAACAAGATCCAGCTCTGAGCAATCAGGATGCGCGTCGTCGCAATAGGAATGATCACAATTGGGTTATTATATGTGTGCACATAAGGGTTGTCGGGCGTAAACACTTGCTGCTTGTTCGCAGTAGGTGGTAGCCGTGGAGATGATTGGAAGGACTTGTGCAATAACGGGTAAACTAATCCTACGCTGATTATAAACACTGGGCTGTTTTGGGGAGCCGCTAAGTGTTTATCCCTGAAGATTACGTCGCTTGTTCTGCATTCTGTTTCAGTGCCAACCCTTCATATGGTTCTTATAAAAATCTCTCCATTAATATATTTTCGTCAAAGGAATTGTTTTTTAAGTGAGCGTGTTCTCTCGATGTAAAACTTGCATTTTGTGTTCCACTAAATCTTTCGGTAAGATGCATTTGGCGCCATTTGTGAGTGCATATGTACTAAAAGAAAGCATGGTGGTAAATGGAGTGTTTGCCTCTGGAGGATAAAAGTAAAAGCCTTGGTATCACACATAGGTGGGCTGACTTTAAGTGCATCCGAGTGGCACACAGTACCTGACTGAACCCGGGAAGCCAATCAGATACACTGCACTGCACAGGGCCAAACACAACACTGCTATCAGTGATGCCACAATGACTGAAGTGGAAAATTATTTGAGCGGTCATGTGACACTGATTCCCAGACGGACTCATCTCACCTGATTGCCTATTTGTCAGTAATTACTTACAGTGGTTGCCATATGTCTTCCTCCATAGCTTCACCAGGCAGAGGCTCCTCCACAGTATTGATTCAACATTAAACACCACTTAAATCGAAACCCGGTTCAATGTGCGGCTGGCCCCAGGCACTCATGCGAGGTTTAAGGGGGGGAAATGATTAAGTTCAAGTAGCAAATTGGGACATGGGAGGGGAGTTGATGGAAAGTCAATGAGTGCTACATTTAACAAGGATGGGAAGGGTGTCGAGCATATTGTGCTTTCCTCCCCATGGGTAGGATGTTGGTGCACCACATGCTGCCCTTTTCATCATCTCTGTAAATGAACTCATTGAAATCAATGCCTATACAGTGGTGGTCCGTATTACTAATCTCCCCTAACTATGTAGTAAAATGTATTTATGGGCTGTAACCAGAAAGAGGATGCCATATTAAAAAAGTGTATTCTCCATCTTTACTATTTTCCTTGCCATTTCCATCTGTCTTAATCCTGTTTTCTGCTTTCCCTCCTGGGCTGCATCAGCCTCACTGATTGGCTGCAGGGACAGACACACACAGGTCAGAGGTCAGTGAGCCCTTGAAGGATATGTGTTGACATCTGTCATGCTGCTTGACACTTTGGAAAACATCACCAATGATGCCTTGCTTCCACTCAATATTTATGCAACTTGTGAGCCCAAAAGTATTGAGATAATCAAGATGGATCCACTTTTCAGAGGGTGTTCCCGCCTCAGGCTGAGGATAAGCCAAATGATTAGCATGAAATCATGCCGGCACATCTTAAATACTAGATCTGGGCCATGGAAAGGAGTAGTGACCTAAATAAAACATTGTATTCTTTGGTTTATACCATCTGAATTAATTAGAATAGGGAATAGTATAGATCAAAGATTTATCTCTGCCGTGCCCTCTCTATCTCGGGTTATTGTAATACGCAACAGGCCAAGGAAATAAGAAGCCTCACATAAATACTCTTCCTTGTGTCAGTCTGAGACATGAAGATTTGCAGATGTTTTTTTATTCCGATGTAGGACTGTATATGCATGGCTGTGCTAAACAAAACTGAAGTCTTGGGAAAATAGTAATAACTGGGTTATAATCAGAGATGGCAAAAGTACACACATCCTTTACTCAAGTAGAAGTACAGATACTCGTGTTTAAAAATATTCTGGTAGAAATACTGACTAAACTTATTTACCCAAGTAAAAGTAAAGAAGTATGGGCTTCGAAATGTACTTAAGTAAAAAGTAACTACCAGCTGTTTTAAAGAGTACCTGACCTCCCTTTATATTAATAGAACAAAAATGTCATTGTTAGCTAATGAATGTTTCGATACTGAACAACGGCAACATGACAACGTTTTCATTGGTCCCTCTTCTTTAGAGAAGACCAGGAAATGATGGATACACAGATCGTGTTAAAATCACGCAATGACTCTAAATAATAATGATCACGAACCCAAACAGATTAAAACTAAAGTAACAAGTCTGTTTTGAAAATGTAAGAAGTAGAAAGTACAGATATTTGTGTTAAAAATGTAACAAGTAAAAGTAAAAAGTCGTCAGAAAAATAAGTAGTGGAGTAAAGTACTGATACCATAAACATTTGTTTGAGTACAGTACACAAATATTTGTACTCCACTACTTCCACCTCTGTTATATGATTACATGTAACTTGTTAGACGCTTTTATCCAAAGCGACTAACATACTCAATACTGTGGACAATCCCCACAGGAGCAATTTGGGGTGAAGTGTCTTGTCTTGGTTATAATAACATGTGTTGTCTTTTTTCTACCTGTATACATTCAGTGTTCACATCATGTTTGGGTTTTTATTGTTTGCTTGATCCTTGTGATCGTTTTTTTATAAAAAAAAATATACTCTTTAGACTCTGGGGCAGAAGCAGTTATTTCACAGGAGAATTTGCTTAATTTCTCAACACTTCCTGTACACAACAACAAAGCCCTTACTTCAGATGCTGTTGCTGAATGAACAATGCATGTTTATTCACTCTCCATCTGGAGATCCATTTATTTATTTAGTTTCTTTTTAAATCTGTAGGAACATTATAAAATACACTTTACAATCCAAAATAACAATTTCAATTCAACACAATTAAAAAGTAACTGAAATCCTTTGAATAAAATAAGGTGCAAGAGGTCATTTGAAGATAAAGGGTTTTTAGTGCTTCAAACCTCAAGTGGTTTGTGCTCCTAATCTGCTGACTCATAGTTTCTGGTTATCTAGACTAATTCCTCAGAAGAGCATGACCAAGCTTAAAATATCTGGTTTAGCATAGAAGCCACATAGGACATATAAAACACTGACATCTCCCCCAGCCGGAGAGAGACTGCAGCTATATCTGATTTATTTAAAATAGGGAAGAAAAAAATCTGACACGATTGAATTATGAGTCATGACAATCGCAGTACAAAAATATGTTTGTGGAATTGATCAAGTCCTATCTCTCTATTGATGAGTCCAGATTTGAAGATGTTTTCACTTGCAGAGATTTGCCTTTGAAATCACTTATCTACTGTATGATGTCTTTAAAGATTGCTCTGGAAACATGTTCCTAGATGCCCTATAAGGACGATATACAATACAACATTTACAGGATTTTGTTTGAAAGTAAGTTTAGTTTTCTGTATGTCTAAAGAAAACCAAAACAGCAGCATCAAAAACAGGATCTTCAGTTTCAAATAACACAAAAAAGCATATAAGCTGAATGTAGAGGGTTGTCTAATAAAAATAATATTGTTTTGGTTTGTGAAACCTTTATTCAACATTAATAATGCAACATTTATTAGACTTTATGAGCCCATATTCTCATTTTAAATATGTATGATCTTATGGTTATGAATAGTTAATGATAAAAACTTGCTCCAAGTTCTCAGATAAAAGTCCAGATTGATCTTGAGAGTCGATTTGTTTACAGAGGCCGGTCACACTGGAGACTAGAGTTAATTACTAACAAAACCACAACGCCTCACTGCAAGATTATGCAACTGCACCCCCTACTGACCTAGAAGTTAAATGCTGCGAGTCTGACACAGAGTCTGAAATAGGTCTCCCCCTGGGTCTGATTTGTAGAGAAGATACTGTTTCACTTCTGTGGGAAGCTGAAGGTCGAGAATCCTACCCAGTCTCTGCTTGCCCATAGTGTTCCTGATGTTCTGCCGGCACAGCTGCATCAGAGGAGAGGCTCCTGGGGGGGGAGGGGGGAGAGGAGCCATGACGGAGAGATGTTTTGATTATTAGCTACGGCTTAGGGCACCAGCCTAATGTAAAGGCCGTGCAAATCGCCACTACTTGTTTAGTTTGGATTGAATACCTCCTGCCTGTCTCAGCAGCTTCTCCACCAGGCTGCTGGGGGGGGCAAGCTCCAGCGGCTGTTTGCCCTCAGAGTTCCGGAGGGATACATCCCCCCCGTGGTCCAGCAGGACAGACACCAGCTCAGGGCTGGAGAGGCGGGCGGCGATGTGCAGCGGAGACTCTCCGGACACGCTGCTGTTCACTCTGGCACCTGAACAAAGCAGAGTGATGAGGTATGATCCTGCTCTCATTACATAACTGGGGGAGAGGGTCTCTGACAGCCTACACAGCACCACTTATCTAATGTATTGCTTACATGAAATACTTTGGGCCATTTCCTAGCTGGACTGTATTTACTCTCAGGTTATGTATATTCAAATTACAAAGCCCAAATGAGTGGATGTTTTAGATATGATACAGCAGACGTGTTATATAACGTGCGGCTCAGCCAGCAGTGTAAACATAACTGTGTGTTTACACAAGCACTGCATTTAGGTTTACTGTTGAGTAACACATTGTCACGATTCTCATGTTATGTCACGTTTATAGTTTTGTAGGTTTGGGTGTTTTTGCTGTTTTCCATGTCATGTTTTCCTCTGGGTTATTGTCTGGCCCTTTTCCCTGTGTTTTTCCTCTTGTCATTAGTTTCCCTGGTGTGTCTA